AACGAAACTTCGGAATATTACTAATTTTGTGATGCTCTTTCAAGCTGTGATGAAATTTTTGTCTAGACTTGTCTTGATCAAAATTTTGTTCATTAGGGGAAAGGACCATTATATGGAGCAGTCTTGCATTGACTGGCAAAAAAATAGAAAATTTACCTTCAGAAAACAAGCTTTCAACCTGTAGATATTGACGTAACAATGAAACAATGACTGACTTCATGTGACCACGGCAGCCATTACGGTATCTGAAACGCAAGATGATCTAATTACCTTGTTACTGGACCTCTATATAGAACATATTAGAACTGATAGAGTTATCCAGTATAAATAAAGTTAGTTTAGTTTAGGTTTTAAAAAGAACAAAAGAATATAGACACTCCAAAAATACTTAACATTTTAATCAACATTTCCACTAGGTTTCAGTCATCATCAGGAATGACGCTATCGAAACGTTGATTAAAATGTTAACTATTTTTGGAGTGTCTATTGTTTTGTTCTTTTTTAAAATTACTCAATGGCAACCGTAATTTCTAGTTTAGGTTTCCTCCTGTAGTAACACCGGATGATCCTTACTGGACCTCTACGGAGAACAGTTTAGAACTGATGGAGATATCCAGTATAAAGTTATTTTAGTTTAGGTTTCCTCCTGTAGTAACACTGGAGCAATAAGAGATGGTGAAGGAACAACAGTATAGAACTGATAGAGCTATCCAGTATAAATAAAGTTAGTTAACTCTATAATATAAACATGAATTCCTACCGTTGTACAAGTTGAACGATGCTCTGAGTACTCAGAAAGAATGCCTCGCGGTCAGCTCTCTTAGTTAAAGTGGCTGCATGAGCGTCGACAACATTGGCAATCTAGAAAATATAAAAGTAGTATTCTAAAATAAATTGTCGTGGTTTGTGTCTGAGCTACCTGAAAAAGATATCTCAAACATGGTGGTCCAATGTAGGCAGTATTCTACAATAAGCTGTCGTGGTTTGTGTCTGAACTACCTGAAAAAGATATTTCAAACATGGTGGTCCAATGTAGGTAGTATTCTACAATAAGCTGTCGTGGTTTGTGTCTGAACTATCTGAAAAAGGTATCTCAAGCGCGGTGGTTCAGTGTAGGTAGTATTCTACAACAAGCTGTCGTGGTTTGTGTCTGAACTACCTGAAAAATATATCTCAAACACGGTGGTCCAGTGTAGGTAGTATTCTACAATAAGCTGCCGTGGTTTGTATCTGAAACAGATTAAAAACATTTCGTTCGGGACAGTAGCATTGGCAACCCTCGTGTTGGCAACGTCCAAATGGTTTAACCAACGTTTCAAACTTGAAAAGACAAAATAGTCTACGTGTACCTGTTGACTGGGAAACTGACTGAGCACTGAGGTTATGTTGCTAGCATAGTTCGCTAACAAACGATGAATTGCTTCCTCGACCTGCTCTGGAATACGTCCAGAGATAGAGGAAAGATGCTCCTAAAACATAAAAATAAGGTGAAGAGAGCTTTTAGTTTGATGGTATTGTAGACGAAAACGGTCGAGTGGAAATTTTATACACAGTTATTTAGACTTAACCAGAAACAGAAGCGAAAAAATGCAACATTAGGTCCCTGGCAGGAATTGAACCTGCGACCCTGCGATTCTGGTGCAGCTCTCTAACCGACTGAGCTACAGAGGCCAGTTGTCGATTCCCAGTCTAGTTTGACTCTAAAAAAAATCGAAGGTTTTCTCCTAGTACTTCGGTTTCCTGAACCGTACGTACATTAGTACCTGATACTGAAGCAATAAGGAATGGCTAATTACTGAACATCAGGGTGGTGGACGTTTAAAACTGACATAGTTATCCACCTTTAGTTCCATAAGAGGTAATTTTGGATCTTTCAAAGACTTTGTTAAGAGGTCAACATTCTTGTTTAGAAACTTGGTAAAGTGGGGTTCCTCAGCGGCATAGCCAGTCATGATGTGTTGAAGGTTCTCGCGAGCTGTCTGGAAAACCTAAACAAAAATAACTAGTTTAAACTATAAAATAACTCAGTTATAACTTAGTTTTACTAAGCACTATCGGGCAGCAAATGGTGGGCAACCTGCAGTTCTCAGAGTGAGAAAATAGGGCTGGAAAAAACAGGCGAGCTCGCGCAGGAAATGTTAATTAAAAACAGCTGCAGGAAATTCGTTTGAATGAAGATTTGCTATTGAAAATTTGAAGAAAACCTTAACACCCATGTCCCACTATGGGCGCGACAACATATGGTTGACAGACATTATTCCTTGAATTTTTAAAAACCATGGTCAGCTAGAACACTATAAGTTTATGCACATGCAGATTTAGCACAAAAATACTCTGTTGGTCTGCAGGAAATTTTTGTCTCCAGGTTTTGCTTCCAGTAGTCTTGTATTTGAAGGCAACTATAATTGACCCCTCCCACCGCCCCCTCTCTTACCCCACCCCGTAACGTAGTGTTTCCTTGATAACTTCCATTAACTAGTAGAAACAAATCCTACCTGATGTAGTTTATCGCCTTTCAACAATGGTCCTTTCAACACTGGAAACTCTCCTAGATAAAGTTGAGCCTGTAACAAGAGATACATCATTAAGTTTCTCTACTTTAAGCGAATTAATGTAATCCAACAAATGAAACAAGGATGAGAATTGGCAGTCATGCGAACTTGGTTAGCTGTTCTTAATGCTTTCCATTAATAGACAATTCCCATTATAGACAATTTTAAAACTAGGCAAGGAGATGCAAATAAATCACCACAGCTAGAAAGAACATACTAAAATTAGTAAATTTGCAAAGTTTGGTTGCGAAATTGTGTAAAATGCGGAAAATATAGCCTTGCAAAGTTCGCAAATTTTGTATATACTTTTGTATTGCGTGCGGAAATTCCTCTCACATTCCACATTGGGCCGAAAATGGCAGCAATTTCCGCACGCGAGACAAAAGTATACACAATTTGCAAACTTTGCAAGGCTATATTTTCCGCATTTTACAACATTTCGCAACCAAACTTTGCAATTTCACTAATTGTAGTATGCTCTTTCCAGCTGTGGTGATTTATTTTCATCTCCTTGCCTAGTTTTAAAATTAGTTTATAATGGGAATTGGGAATTGTCTACTGGTAGACTTCCATGAACTACTATTTTATCGGCCATCTTGTTTGCGTGATCGCCGCGCGTGGTTTACGCGCGTGTCACCCGGGTGACAAGATCAAATCACCACGTGATATATGATCCAGGTCACTCGCTTACGTCAAATACCTGTGTAACTCTGTTAGGATCATCAAGCTCCAAGCTAGCAACAACAGTACCAGGATCAAGCACGGCGTTTGGACATTTTATAAAATGAACACTGGAAAAAGCAAGCATAGTGTTAAATGCAAAAGAAAAAAGTCAGATCATGTCTTGCAATAGACATTTTTAAAAAGTCTGAAAGTTTGTGGATAAATACGCTCATTTGGCCGATCAGGTAAGCCAAATAGCTGTGCGAGGTTTTCCTTTATCCGCCTAAGTCACAAGGCAGACTTTTAAAAAAGTCAATTCCTCTTACCAGCCACTTTCTGCGACAGTCAAAGGCATCACCATTTTCATCACCTACAAATCAAAACAAATGTTATCATTATGAAGATGGTTTACACTATCAAAGTTTCTGTGATCACAGTAGGAATTTTGCATGGGTAAATTCTAAGTTTTGAAGGATTTGTAAGAAATGTTTGAGGAAACTGACTGAGTGTTATAAAGGATGGTTTACACTATCAAAGTTTCTGTGATCACAGTAGGAATTTTGCAAAGGTAAATTCTAAGTTTTGAAGGATTTGTAAGAAATGTTTGAGGAAACTTACT